TGATACACAGTGGACAACAAGAAAAACACCTTGCCCCTGTGTAAGTTCCTAAGTCATCCCTTACTCAAAAAAAAAAAAAAAAAAAAAAAGAAATGACTAATATAACAGGAAAAGAAACCGGACAATACAACTGGGTCCAAACCTGCCAGCTAACAACAACTACAACAACAACAACAAAAATCCAGGTGTTGGGGCAGGTGCCAGTAGTCCCAGCTACTTGGGAGGCTGAGGCAAGAGAATTGCTTGAGCCCAAGAGTTTAAGGTTGCTGTGAGCTGTGATGCCACTGCACACTACCAAGGGCGACATAGTGAGACTCTGTCTGAAAAGAAAAGAAAACAAACATATATTGTGTTTAGCACTAAGGAAAAAACAATGACTGAGACCTGGTATCATTCCTGGGTGAACACACAATGGAGTGTGTGACAGTAGAATCGCACCTTATTCAGGATTTGAGTTCCAAGTAAAAATCATCCATGATTAACCCTGAAAAATCTTTTAGGCTCAGCGCCTGTGGCTCAAGTGGCTAAGGCACCAGCCATATACACCTAAGGTGGCGGGTTCAAATCCAGCCCGGGGCTACCAAACAACAATGATGGCTGCAACCAAAAAATAGCCAGGCGTTGTGGTGGGTGCCTATGGTCCCAGCTACTTGGGAGGCGGAGGCAGGAGACTCTCTTGAGCCCAGGAGTTGGAGGTTGCTGTGAGCATGATGCCATGGCACTCTACCCAGGGGGATAGCTTGAGTCTCTGTCTCAAAAAAAAAAAAAAAGAAAGAAAGAAAAACTAAAGGCTTAGGAGGGCACCCATGCCCTTAGGGTGTCAGCCACATACACCAAGGCTGGCAGGTTCGAACCTGGCCCAGGCCAGCTAAAACAATAACAACTGCAACAAAACAAAATAGCCGGGTGTTATGGCAGGCGCCTGTAGTCCCAGCTACGTGGGAGGCTGAGGCAAGAGAATCGTTTAAGCCCAGGAGTCTGAGGTTGCTGTGAGCTATGACACCACAGCACTCTACCCAGGGTGATAGCTTGAGACTGTCTCAAAAACAACAACAACAAAAAAAACGAAGGCTTACTATACCACACTTAGGGACTTAGTTTAATAGGTAGGGGTTACAATTAACTTTTTAAGTTTCAGTGGTGATGCTTATAGGCCAACAATTGAGAACTCTAGCAAAATTATTCAATAATATTGTAAAGATTTTTTTTAAGTTTTTATTAAATATTGCATACAAAATATTGAAGTTAACAAAAATGAATGATTTTGGTTCTCTCTTTTCTCTTTTTGTCCTATCTTTAGTGGAGGCTCAGTGAACAGTGAAATCATAAAAGGACCTAGATAATTCAGGTCCTGATTTATTTGTACAAATAGAAGTCCACAGGAATCCTAAAACTGCTAGAAGAGTCGTCCACTCAAGTGTCTAACTTTTGTAAAATTGTATGAGCAACAAAAATCTAGGAGTAAATGAACTGTATCATAGATGAGATGAGCATTTTCCTTCAGAGACAAATCCAGCCCAACCAATCAGCCCCAACTTATGAACTAAGCATGTAACTCACCAGTGCGATATGCCAATAACCTGGCCTGAACCATGCAGTGCCTTGCAATTTCTTGTGGCAAACTTTGATTGTGAGTTTCATTAATCTGTTCTGGATTGCTACAGTAAAATCCGAAGTGTTTATAGTTGGGCACACTGGAAGCTACTGTGGCCAAAAGTAGGACAAGGTCTTTCATGTTTTGCCTTAGATTGCTAAAGTAGGGATTTTCACACAGGTTCTCCAAACCCATAGTCATCAGTATTTGCTTATGCATATCTTCATTCGAAACCAAAAATAACATTTCATATTCTTTTATTCTTTCTTGTTTACATTCAGAATAAAAGTCAATGTTAGCATCTGGCAGTATTTTTGCAATTTTTTGAATAAAGTCACATTTGTACGAGGTCTCCTCTACAAACTGCACCATATAACACACCAAAGGCTGAAGTAAGACACACACATGGGCCCGACTGTTTGACTTCAATCTTTCCACTGCTTTGGCATCTAACTTTGCATCTTCCGAGCTAGAAGCCTCAGTAAGCAAACTTATTTCTGGATCAGCAGGCCAATATGAAATTCGGTTAACTCCAGCTGAAATACAAAATATAAAAAGTAATTATCTGAAACATGCTAAATTTAGGGTTTTCTTGATAAATCCACCCTGTCATCGCAAATTTAAAGGCCCAAATAGATATTTATTATGTCTATTATCATTGTCACCTCTCACATAGCCCAAGGGTTGGCAAATCACTACCAACAGGCCAAATCTAGGACATTGTCAGTTTTTGTATAGCTTGCAGCTTAAGCATGGGTGTTGCATTTTTAAATAGAGGAACAAGGCTCGGCACCTATAGCTCAACCGGCTAAGGCGCCAGCCACGTACACCTAAGGTGGCGGGTTCGAATCCCCAGCCCGGACCCGCCAAAACAACA